CACACACACACACACACACACACACACACACACACACACACACACATTTACATTTAGGTATATTCAATCGGACTAGATTGTACATTACAGAAAACAATGAGCGTGCATCTAGCCAAAAGTTGTGTACGGGTCTCGCGCGATCGATTCGCGTACAACTGAATATAGTCGAATTATTGAAAATTTCGAATAACGGCTCGTGTACGCTTGTTTCCTTATCATTAAAAACCTAAGCGAATAAAAATTGTTTTGTAAAAAATACGGCAATACCTGCGGGTTAATATCAATAATATTAATAATACAATCGCGATTGTATTAAATTATCTTGCGTGAACGGAAAACCGATTTTAAAACGTAAATATCAACCCGATTCCTATTTTGAGTAAATTAAGACATTCGAACCCGATCGATAGCTGGTTATATCGATATATTTGAACCAACTTTACTCATAATGTAGTACGTGGATTCCTTCGCAAACGCATCCAGATTTTACGATCCGATAAAATCCTTCTTTCGCGTACGTACACCTATACGTCTTCGTGGGTTGAATGAATCGAATGTACAATATTTTTCGTAGATAAAGCGGTCGCATTATTCTATTGTCACCAGATCCGACTTTCGTATTACCTCACAATAATTCCACAACGAGATAATGGGTTCGATGTAATTATTTAACCGAACAAGAAAATTAATATGACAAAAGGTTCTTTTCCAGATTTTAGCGTCACGTAATAGTAAATGGGATGCGGAAGAGTCTACGTTAACCGATGCGTCTAACATTGCGTCATAGAAATACTTGTGTTATGCCTGCGTTCCGAACACGAACGTTAACTATAAAACACGGCTGTTTAACGAACCCGAAACAATCATTAAAAACCCACGGTAGACGTTCGATTGCTATTAGACCGTTAGCTCAATCACCATCAGGTGATTTCTACGTCTTCTCTGATCGTGTGTACTTTTATTAAGGTTAACGGTTTTAACCGTTGTAACGAGGATGTTCCTAAATAAATTCAAACTATTTCTAATCGTTTTTACTTTGTTCGCGGGAATCGACATGGTTGCGAAATTGTTAATAATTTCGGTGCGCGTTCCTGTAATCGCATATATGCAGTCTAATTCGAGTTCCAAGTTAAGTACCAAAAGAAAATATTCAGTTAAGTTAAATTATTTTTACGAGAATAATAGTATAACGCTTTCGAGAAAATATGCATTTAGAATCGAATAATAAATTATTAATACAACTTTGATTGTAGACAAATTAATGACCGTTTTGTTATTTATTTAGTAGAAATTAATAAAAATTACATTATCTTACGTCTCCAGTTAAATTTTAAATAAAAAAATTTAACTTATTAACTATTAATGATATTTTTTTTTTGTGTTAAGAATTATTATTTAAACGTAGCGTAGTTTTAGTTAGAAGTTAATCGTGTAGATGATACGTTTTAATTCATATTCAAGTGAACATTTTTTTAATTTAATCATTTTTCCAATCTTACTTTTTGAAATACACCCCCAGTTACCTATCAATGTGTATGTATTACATATTTCCAAGAAACATTACAATAATTTTTTAATTGAATCAGAAAAATGTTACCAACTAATAATATATTACAAAGAAAGAAACCATTCCAATCACATTAATCCATGTTAAGTTCAAGTAACTTATCGAGGACAGTTATATTCCACTATGTGTGACAACAAACATATACTTTTTGCAGATTTTTAAAAAAATATCAAAGGTAAATTGCAAAACCAAAAAAATTGTTGAACATCATAATATATCTTTTTTAATTGAGAATACAATTATAAAATATAGAAGTTAAATAAAAGTAAGTAAAATTAGTAAGTTATAAGTTAAATTTAACTTATTTACAACATTAATTGTGTGTACATCATCAATTTTTATAGGTATATTTTGCATATTATTAGTTATTTATGTATATTATATAATATTCTTTTCGACTTGCAGAACTATTCGTAATATATTACCTCCTTAAATATATATATATGCTTATATATATTATATAAATTGAGTAAAACAAAGAATTAAAATATTTGTATTAGCCTCAATTCCGTTAACCACTTTATTTTTTAACTCTAGTAATTCATACTTATAACAGTTATCTTAATTTTTTTTACACATATTGATTTTTTACAAAAAACATTACTTTTTTAATATTTTAAATAAAAATGCATTTATATTGAATGTGTTTTTTGAAAAAAATTGAATTATATATGGGTAAACATAAATATTTATTATATGCAATTACATAGGGAATATCCGGATGACTAATCATAACTCTTGAAAAATTAACCAACGTATTGTTTATAGAGACGGACCATTAAGATTACCGGATTTTTAAATAAATAAAATTGGTATATTTCACAGATAAAACGTATAGTAAAAAAAGATAAACACAGTTAAAAATGTATTTATCTCATAGTTTATCGTGATACAAAAGTATAAACATTAAAATGAACAAAATGCATTTGAAATAATTAGATTCCGTTTAAATTGTACCTAATTTGATTTGAATAATTTAAAAAATATTCCAAATAGTCAAAATCAATGAACATTTTATTAACATTCAAACAATGCTTGAGACTAAAGTTATATTTCTGCCAAAATAAATAATGATGGAATGAAGAAAAAAAACATTTCAAGTAAATAAACAAATTAAAATTGTAACATTTAATAGTCTTTGTAAAAACGTAAGTAATTAGAATAACTTTGAAAAAAGTAAGTGATGTTTAAAAAAATAAGTAAAAATCTGACAGCGTATAAAATTAAGTTTAACCAATTAACCAACAACAAATGTTCAAAGGCTTTTATAGTTTATAATACGGTTAATTACTTGAATTTGAAGGTTATTAAGTTTTTAATTACAAGTATTTGTTTTTCAAATCTAACATATGTACAAGAAATGTAGCAACAACTTGTACATGATACTTTATATTGATCTCAGATAATGGAAAATGTTGTTACACATTTGATTGAACGTATCAAATCGACTAAGTATTAACTACCAAACGATTTTTTAACGAAGAAATTGTGTAATAACGGTATGCATAACGCACGTCAAATAATGTTATTTCTAGTTAATACATTGTAAATGCTAAGCAATTATTTTGATTAAAATATGTGAAAATATTGAAAACTACACAACATTTGGCAAAACTGAAAATACAGGTCTGTTTCGCTAAAACTTAAACAATGTAATTGGAAGGGTTCTATAAGTTTACATTATCGTTTTTAAGAAACCAGTCCATTAGCGGCGGAAAAGCGATTTCACTATAATGTAGTTGTGACATACGCATTACGCATTATATGCGTATGTAATTTTTATGACGTTTTAATAATTTATGATATCACGCACGGCTAGATTACTCAGACCAAACACAAAATTAAAAAACTTAATCATGAAAATGTTGCATTTAATCAATTATTGTTTGGAGTTGGTAACATTTTCCCTAGAGGGAAGCAAAGTCAACAAATTATACATACAAGTATAAAATAATAAAAATATAACATTTATAAAAAAAAAAAAAACTGTCCATCAAGTTAATTAAGTTTTTTCGTAAACATCGTGAACACTTTTTCATTATAGTAGGTATAATTACTGTAAGAAATGTATGAGTTGAAAAATAATTTGGTTTTTTTTTTTTTTTAATTAACAAAACCCGTACAAGATGTAACATTTTCTTGGTAAAAACGCAAAAAAATTATGAAACAATTTTCATCAAGACTGTTATTCCTAACAAATAATAAATATATATATACGAGTATATGTACGTATATTGTTTCGTAGCAGTTTTATTTACGTATAAAAATTAAACAAACAAATAAATAAATGTTAGAACAACAAAAATAACCGAATGAATTGTTTTCATTACGGGAGGACTACAAGGATACACATTTATCCGTCGCCGTACTGCATATGTTAAAAACAAAATACAACATTCATTTTCTCCGCCGTTATTAGATTTTATTATTTTACCACGATTATTATTTTTATTATTATTGTTGCTGCTGTTACGCGCACCGTTCGCGCGCGTCTTATTACACCGACGGTTACTTGTTATTAGCCGCGCGCCCGTTGCACGTCACCCCGTTGTTCGGTGCACTCGGGGTTGCACGCGGATTTCGAACAACGCGGTCGTCCAAAAACGTTTCCTACGCCTCGAGTGAGTTTCGCTATTCTTTTTAAATTTTTTTTAAACACTCACCTTTGAACGGAACGATGTACGGCGGCTCGGCTAGCGTCAGCACCACGTACATCCAGAACAGCAGGTTCGGGTACATCAGATTCATGGTTGCGGGTTGCGCGAGAGCCCGGTGACCGGGACCGACGTGGGGGGAAAGGGGGGGACAAAAGGGAGCGACGGGATCGCGGACCTACGATCGGTCGGAGCTGCGGAAATCGGGATCGAAAAATTCCACCGGACCGACGGTGGACGCGGCGCGGATATCGCTACGGATAGACGAGAACGCTGGTCGCCTAGAAGCCCGCCGGAGAGCTCGATTTCCGGAATCGAAACGTTTTTCTACCGTTCGCCCGTAGTCGTATTCGGTTTCTGTTTGTTATAATTTTTATTATTTTTTTTTTTTTTTCCCCCGGTTTCTCACCGCCACGTGCGCGGACGAACGCCCCGGAAATAGATCCGTGGAGAACGAGTGAGAAAGAGAGCGAGAGAGAACGAGTGCGGTGAACAGTCGGTAACGGTCAAATGTGTATTCTGGCGAAAAATCGCGCGCACGGCAAAATACCGCGGATCGGGACGAGAGGGTCTCGGAGCTGCGACGGAGTTGCGGGCAACCGGACGGGGTCGGATCCACGAGGGCTACTGGACGAGTCAGCGGCGGTAGTGACGGCGTCTGCCGGCGGTTTCGAAATCGGACGGAAATCGCGACGCCGCCGCCGCCGACGCGCATGTTCCGCGGCGGTGCGCCCGACCCTTCGCGCCGCGGTTCGGACGGAATTCGCGACTACCCCCTTCGCGTGCGCACGGTCCTTTGCCACCACCCCTAGCGCCGACCACCGTGGCTGCTGACCCGGCTACAAAACTATCCTTACGTCGAACATCGTCCGAGACGGCATCCGACGCCGTGTCGTTCCGTTTTCACTTTTTTTTTTTTTTTTTTATTGTTCATTTAGATTTTTCTCATACGTCTCGTAATTAAAATTAAAATTATAAAAAAAGTCATCATTATTTTTTTTTACGTTTTTTTTTGATTCATGAATGAATAATGCAAAATAAAACGCCGGATTATGAATACTTATAGTGAATCAGAACCCATCAATTTTAATATAATATTTTTACGTTTTATAATAAAAGTTTACAGCAGTTGTATTAAATTTTACATGTACTGTATTTTATACAGATAAAAATTACAAATACAAATTTTAACAGTATATACATCATTTTTTTTTTTTTTTTATTTTTTTTTTTTTTTTTTTTTGGCATTTTCTAGGTTTTTAAGGCATATTATTTTGCTAAATTTGTGATTTTTTAAACAATAAGAGCAGTATCATTCAGTATTTTTCGGTACTATTTAGTTTTATAAAATCTATGTCCTGATAATAATAATATTTATTTATTTTTCAACTTATAGAATTACAAAAATATTACAATTTAATATTGATACCAATAATAATCACCATTAAGCCATTGATTGAGAGGAAGTGAGAGTTTGATTTTACTATACAAACTATAGTGATGAATTACAAATAAGAAATATTCTTATTGATAGTTATGAAGAATAATGTGAATGTAATATAAAATGAGAGAAAAAAAGAACATAAAGATTTTACTTTTGCTAAAAAACCAATATTGATTAAAATTACATAATACTATAAACTGTGATATTTTTCTAATGATTAGTATAGTATAATATTTTAATAATTGATTTTAAATTAATATTCTAAATATAGAAACTTACAAGAATATAATATTTTCCCTGTTGAACTTGATCAGTTTTTGATTTAGAAATTATTATATGTCAATTTTGTACTTAAAAGAGTATTTTAAGTGTGAATTTTTAGCATTGGTGTATTTTACTATATATTTATACTAAACAATAAAGTAACCAACATATTATAAAATAAGTGAAGTAATTTTAAACATTTTTTATTTTATTTTCTGCTATTTTATTGTCCACCTAATGTTTTGATTATACAACTATTGGTAAATAGTATTATTAACATGACATTTTTAAGAAAAATATTATAAAAGACATGGAAAAATCTGACCTTAAATGAAAATACTAAAAAAAAAAAATAGAAAGAAAAATATTATTTGTACCCATTACACATAATAATGCATTACATCGGACAACGATGGTTACATCATTATAAAAAAAACCTAGCGAAGGAAGGACACGTAGTCGCCAAATCGCTATTACATTTGTGAGTGTGTTCGTGTGTGTGTCTGTGTGTGTGGGGGGAGGGTGTTTATTTATCGAGTGACCCGCCAAATCAAAGGGAAAAAAATGTACGCATTACTTTGTGTGTGTGTGTATAAGGGTAGACACGCACGATGCTTGTGGATTTTCTCCGCCCCTCTACAGAGAAATCGACGGTGAGTTTATACTTCATTTCGAGGGATGGTTTCATCAACATCAGAGCGAAAAAAAAATCAAGACGATTAGATGACGGACGAAAAATAAGTATCACCGTCGTAGACAGACATACTGTATAACCATCCATTGGTTTTCCGGTACAGGTTTTGGCGACCTTATGATCGGTCTTCGTTGAAATGAATCAATATTTTTGATAGCTTTTATCATTATTATTTTACAGGAAGCATATGTAGACTGAACTTACAAAGTCAAAATTCTATTGTGTTGCAAAATATTCCTTATTTGACAATATTATAGAGTAGAAACAGGTATCGTGTAAAGGACATATTATTATAATAGTATGATCCACTTATTTGTTTGATTCATTCCAAACCAACAAATAACATACAATTAAGAACAGTGTCGAAACTTATCTAAATAGATCTATCTAACGTATCTAGATATCTGTTATCGAGTTAAAAATACTAAAAATCTGTTATTCTATCTAGTTAGAGATATGAACCGTTATCTATTTATTTATTTTGAATGAAAATATTAGTTCTCTACTGTTTATTCATCTAAATATATTTTTTATCAATAATATTTAATTAATGCTTCTGGTACTTCGGAGACTCAGAAATTTTCCTATGCATTGCCTGTGTAGGCACGATAAAAATATTCGATGATGGAAATTTGTAATTAAAATGAATACGGTTAAAAATGTTAGATAGGTAGTTATACGTTTTCCCAGATTTAGATGAACATTTTATTCCGATGATTATTGATCAAATGTATTAATTATTTAGCGCAGACATAATTATAAATGTGAATATACAACGTATATATATATATATATATTATATATATTTAAGGGATTGATCAAGAATAACCATGTATAATAATAACAATAATAATTTTTTAGATTATGGATAGCAATTAACCATCGTCATCTACTGTTTCTTGGTAAAAACTATTTAAATCGTGTCTTATAAATAAATCTTTTGATTACGTATATGCAGGTATAATAAATTAAATAACACGAATCCGTGTAGAACAATTTTCTTTTCGTTAATTTTATATTAATAAATTGCAAAATATATTGACGTGCTTAACGGCCAAACGGCTAAGCCCGTTGCCATCTACCACCGATAACCATTTATCACTCCGTTGCGACACTGTTGTCCGTAGTGTTTACTAAATTAATTACAATTGTAAAATATGAGACGTTTTTTGGAGACTACGTCTTCTACAGACAAAAATGATTCAACAATACTACTTCATTCTAAGTCATAAATAGGTATGTTTTTAAATTTTCTTTTCAATAATTAATTTATATAATAATTAGTAGTGGACGTCTTTCCTTATTATTGAATTATGAACGTACTAATGACTTAGTATTTTAGTTTAAAACTGAATAAATAATAATTTCGGTACCTAACGGAAATCATTATAATTTTATGTCTTTGAAAACCGACTGTTAAAATTAAATTAAAAAGAAGTAATAAAGGTAATTTAAAATATAGTAAATAAAAGAAATTCATACTTCACAATAACCGTTGAACAAGAACAAAATATACAATCATATACCAGTATTCGCATATTTATTCATATTTATAATATTAATTTATAAATTATAACCTACGTAATCACAGTTTTGGCCTTGTTGAAATCAATATATTATTATTTCTATTTTTTATTTTTATTTCAACTTCAATTAAGAAATTTGTAAAAAAAAAAAAAAAACACGCATTTTAAGTATTAAAAATTTGTTATTAGGTTTGTTTTGAAAATAATATATTTTTTTACAATACTACACAGCAGAAGGCAAAAGTTAAAGTAATGTGCAATTTTTGATTCCTAGTATCAGCTATTCTAAGGTGTTAATAATAACTATTTTAAAACGGGGTAGGCTCAGGCCTATTAGGCCTACCATATGGGCACGCAACTGAACATAAATAAAAATTATCAGTTAAAAAAATAAAATAAAGATTAGGAATGTATTTGTAGTTAACAATATTCCTTACTATTTACATCCCGTTACAAATATACCACAAAGTAGTTGATACTAGGAATCACAAGTCGCACAAACTTTGATATAATTTTAAATAAAAGTATTTTTAAAAACATACAGCACTATATTTTTGGAGGATCTACTTCATCTAGAATGTTTCGTTTTACATAAATTAGGACGTCTCGCTGTGTTTTTTCTCATAATTATTTTTAAAAATATATTAATTTTAAAATATAATTTCTTCATATTATTTAAATATTTTCGAAAATTATAAATCCACTTTTTTCTACAAATTTAAAATCGTCAATTTATAAGACTCTTGATTTTTTTAAAAAAATAGTGAATAAAGGGTAAATTTTCATTAAATATCATACGAGATATATAAGAATATGAGTCTCGTATATGAGAACATAATAATCTATAATATTATCCTATTCGTAAAGATAAATATTCTGAGTTCGTGAGAAATAATCAATTTTATTTACATTTCAAAAATGACATTATATCAATAAATGATTTAGGTAGGTAGAAACTTTATTGACAATCACCGTTATACTTTGACATTAAAATACACACGCAAATAAAACGTAAATATAAATAATAAGAATTGTCATAATTTTTTAATGATGATTTAATGTAATTATAAACTATTTTTTTTACTTCAAGGATATGATTATTTTTTGTTCAAACCAATTCTGAGACCACTTGATGACGAATTTAATATAGATATTTTTCACCTTAGTCCGTTAAACCGTTCCGTTTTCATATTTTTGTCCGTACTTATATATTTTTGTCACGTTTTTGGCTTGTCTCTATACACGAAGAACAAATCCTTTTCTTTTTTGAATGTCACGAAAAAATTCTTTACTCAAACCATACATTTAGATGATACGAATATATAATATAGACTTTAGTCACTCAAACGTACGTAGTGTACAAAACATTTATTTACTTTTCACTTTCGAAAATGTTAACAAGAAAAAAAACAATCAATTTTTTTGACGAATAAAAATAAAATCAGATCACGTTTACTTAATCTATTGATGTTGTATTTTCTGAATCTACAAAAAAATTATTGCGAATCAGAAAATGATCTTAAATTTTTTTTTCTAAATTAAAAAATGTTGCATCCCATGTTAGCATGAAACTTTCAGTTTTTACATTTTCAATCTGTAAGTTAAATTTTAAATTATTTTTTTGAACATTTTTCGAGTATTATCAAACGTTTTTAATTTTTCTATATTTCTCTTACAATTAACGATATTCATACCACATATTTACGTAATAACACTATTTTTATTTAACAT